TTAAAATTGCCTCCATTTGTGGGGACACAGTTTATCCCTCATGTCACCTCTTTAAATTTTATGGAATTGAATGCTCCTGGGGTTGTGCATAGTTAAGGATCCATAGAATTTTAGCATCATACTACATGCTCAGCCCCTTTGGGACGTGCACAATGTAATGATGCATATTGAAAAGAGATGGGCTTTCCATTGCTAGAGTACCTTCAGTGGTCTGATCCCTCTTCCCCATATGGATGCCACTGAAAGCAAATTAAAATGAACTAAACCCTACATATAATTGTAAAAATAGAAAGCAAAAATCCAAGAATTCACAACTTGCTCAGACAACTTAATTCACTGCAGTAGCTTTCCATGGTCCATTGTTTCATCTGTGGCAAATAACAGTGATCTTTACTGAATCCTATAACATTTAGCTTCCTTATTGTTTTAGTTTGTTTCTGAATTTTAAAATGCTCGATTCAAATGCTGGTTATGATCTACAGTATTATTATTTATCTCCTATGGTATCTGCCCAGTTGGCACAGTCTTGGGTTCCTTCAATTAAACAATGTCATCTATCAGTACCTAGGGAGTGTGTTTTCTTTATTGTGGTGCCTGCCCCCTGGAACAAGATACCTTCTAAGATCAACATGCTGCTGATGTTTCAGAGGGCCATAAAGACCTGCTTGGAGTCCCTTTATGGGATGTTATAGGTCAGTGGTGGCGAACCTATGGCACGGGTGCCAGAGGCGGCACTCAAAGCCCTCTCTGTGGGCACGCGCGCCGTCACTCCAGTCCTAGGCCTTTAGCTGGATTTTATAAAACCTTTTCGCTTTAGGCCTCTGCCGCCGTGTGCAAAAAAAAAAAAAAGGTTCAATCAATCAGTCAATTTCAACTTCTTGTGGGGAAAAAAAAGATCTTGCAAAGCTGGAATTGATTGATTGAACTTTTTAGTCCCACCCAGTCTGCTGTTACCATCACAGCCACGCCCACCCAATGGGCCACACCCAACCATTTGGCCACACCCAGCCAATGGCCACGCCCACCTGGCACCCCACAATGCATAAGTGGGTTTTGGGTTGCAGTTCGCCATCACTGTTATAGGTTGTCTGCCAGGCTCACCATCTTGTTCCTTTTATAATTTTTTAAGTTAGTCTTGTTGCTGTTGTCTATTAGCTCTTATTATACCATTTTAACTTGTTTAGTACACAGGAACTTGCCCAGATTTGCTTGGAGTTGGATGGCATAAAATCAAACAATAAGTATGATACCCACACTTAATTTCAGCACTTAACTAAATTGCATCTGCAAATTTATTTCTTCTTTATAAAGTGACATACCCCTGGTTAAAATATTTGACATACACATATATTCACACACAGACACACATATAGATTCATACACATTTATTCAGTGTAATAGATAATCCTCTGCATTAGTATGCAGAGTTCCTTCGGTGTCTACATGGCTTATTGTTTCAGATTTTGCCTCACGTGTAAAGCAAAAGCAGGGTTTATTTATTTGAAGTTTTGAAAATATTATTGCACCAACCATGAAACTATTATTTTATGAACCAATAAAAATACAGTAGAAGAATTTACAACTGTTAAAAAATTATACTGGTAATTACTCTGAAACAATAGTTACGACTCCTGACATTCAGAGATGACTAACCCACTAAAATTAATGACTTTGTAGTAGTAAAAAAGCTATGAAGTTAACATTGCAATGGAAAATATTTCTGTTGAAGTATCAAATGCCAATTGCATGTGGAACCTCGATCACTATTTTAGTCACTGAAATTAGATTCAGTGCCAGTGGCTAATTTAATCACAGTTCTTCACCCCACAGCAGAATACAGCCATTATGCAAAACACTGATATGAGGGTTATTTTTAGTCAACAGAAGAGTATCTCTTTACAAGGCTAACAAAATGTTTTGAAATTCTGGACTACTTTACCAATTAGATATTTCCTGATCCTGAAAACCAGGTGATATGAAGCAAATTTCATAATGAATAATGATATAGATGGCTGTGTGTGGTTCTGTTTTAGCCTTGTGTCTCTTGAGAGATGATCGACATGTTGCCTTATTTGAGGATAAATTGCTTCTGAAAAATATTGCTCTTGGACTAAGAATGACTCAGTGCCTTGCTTTGACATTCTTGAATAGATTTGCCCGAAGTATAAAAGTTCATTTGGTCATGCACTTTCTTTTCTTAATCCATATTAAGTATGTCTCCGGACTCTCATATAACATAGCTGACACAAGTAGATCTGAGATATGCCTTGAAGAAGACAAAGTGAGAAAACTGAACCTTCAGTTTAGGTACATTCTGGCTGGTTCTTGAGGCAAGACGTGACATCTGAATCATGGCAGGGAACTCATTTTGTTCATGCAAGTTGTAAACTGAGAAAACTTCAATTTTCTGTTCCCAAGTAAAGAGTGTCTGTAGATGGATCATGGCATTTGTCACAGCAGTATAAACTATATAAGGAAAAGAGAAGTACAACTTTTTAAAGTAAACAAATAAGTACAGGCCCAGCTATATAAATATATGCCCTCTTACAACATCACATTT